GGATTCATCTTTTCCCGTCTATGCCCACACCCCAGCGAGTCACCATCTCTTTACTTTTATAACTTCTCCTCCCTTTTTTAGCTCTTATTGACGATTTTCACTTTTACAGAGACCTCTGCTTTGTCGCTCCCCTCCAGCTCCTTCAAGCGAAAGACACAAGCCGCTCAATTACACGAGGAAAAGTAAAGAGGAACATAAATTTCTAATAACCATTATTACACAACTCATCTAAACTTATCTTAAAAACTTGCAAACGTATATTCCAGTAAGAATCTAAAGATTAACAAAGTATTTTTTTTTTTTATTTTTATTTAACACTTTCTCTATTCTGTTTCTGTCTTGATACTAAATCTCCTCTGTCTTTTTTACTAAATCATTTAGCTACTTTCTAAGCTCGTTTTTCCCCCTCCCCTCCCTTTTCAGGTTTCCGCACACGCAAGGCAAAAAGTAGGGAAGAAGAAGCCATTAATAGATCCCATGCCCTGCGGCACACATGGTGTTCCACTAATTGGGTTATCGGTTCCTAACGTACTGATTCTGCTAACGGGGTTTCGTCGTATCGGCTCCTATCTTTGCTCCATTCAGCTTCAAGACCCGCTACGTCATAGCATCTTTCGAGGAGGCGTATCCCCCCCTCTTCGGTTCTTTCACCTCCACGGCTCCAGTTCTTCGATCGACGCAGGCACAAACAACATATGGGAGGTGAATAATAGAAAGAAAAAAATATAGATATACTCATCTAAGCTGTTGTTCCACTCCCCAGCTTCAGACGAACGGCAAAAGGGGAAAAAAGAAAAGAATACATATACTTATCATACTCTTCTTCAGATTCTAAGCTCGTTTCCCCCTCCCCAGCTTCGACGAAGGCAAAAAAAAGGTGAATAAAGAAAGAAAAAAATATATATACTCATCTAAGCTCGTTTCCCCCTCCCCAGCTTCGACGAAGGCCAAAAAAAAAAAAAAATATAATAATAAATAAATACAAAAAAAATAAAAAAAAGAAACAAAGAAAAGAAAAATACATATACACTCACCAAACTCTTCATCATATTCTAAGCCCGTTTCCCCTCCAGTTTCGACGAAGGCAAAAAAAAAATAATAATAATAAAAAATAAATAAATTAAATAAAAAAAAAAAAAAAAAAAAAAAAAAACATACACTCACACGAAACTCTTCTTCAGATTCTAAGCTCGTTTCCCCTCCCCAGTTTCGACGAAGGAAAAGGTGAAAAAATAATAAAAATATATATACACTCATTAACCTCTTCATCAGATTCTAAGCTCGTTTCCCCCTCCCCAGCTTCGGCGAGGACGAAGACAACAGCGCCAACTCGAGCAAGTCTGGCGTCCAGCTCCTGGTGGCTTCCTTCAACCACATGAGGCACCCCTACCAGTTGCTGATCATTCCCCTCACCATCTGGTCGGGGGTCGAGCAGGCTTTCATCGGCGCTGATTACACGGCTGTGAGTGGTCGTCTCAGGAAGGCCTCATAAAGTATGTCTGTCTGTCCCTGTCTTTCTGTCTGTGGGTTTTATATGTCTGTCTTTGCCTCTGTCTGTCTTCCTGTCTTTGTCTTATTTATGTCTGTCTCTATCTCGGCCTTCTTTGAATCTGTCTGTCAATTTATCTTTGACTTTGTCTTTGTCTGTCTGTCTTTCTGCTTGTGCTTATTCGTCTTGTTTGTCTCTATCTCTACTTCCTTAGTATCTGTCTGTCAGTCTGTTTTTGCCTTTGTGTCTCTGTCTGCAAGTACCGTTTCTGTCAGACTCTAATTCTGTTTTTTTCTCTGTTTTAGTATCTCCGTGTCTTTGCTTTTGTCTCTGTCTGTCTGTCAGTTACGTCTTTTTTCTGTCTGCCTGAATTTTTTTTTTTTTTTTTTTGTGTCTCTCCACCTCCATCTTTCTTTTCCTTTTAGCTTTACGTTTAATTTACGAACCTCTGGCTTGCCCCCCCCCCCCTCCTAATGGCTAATTCAACCCATTACATCTAAATCTCTTAAAATACGTATTCCATAATTTATTAACGTTTTTTTTTTTTTTCTTCTTCTTTTTCCTCCCTTTTTTACTAATATTCTCTCCCTTCCCACTTATAGGCCTACGTCTCCTGCGGCCTGGGTGTCCACATGGTCGGCTACGTCATGATCTGCTACGGGGTTTGCGACGCTATCTGCTCCATCAGCTTCAGCCCTCTCGTCAAGATCTTCGGGCGTATCCCTGTCTTCACCATGGGCTTCGCCATCAACCTGGGCATCATCGTAACCCTGATCTACTGGATGCCCCGCCCCGACGACCTGCCCATCTTCTTCGTTATATCGGGGTTGTGGGGCGTGTCCGACGCCGTGTGGCAGACGCAGATCAATGGTGGGTTTTGTTGTTTGTTGTTTGTTTGTTTGTTTGTTTGTTTGGCTTGGTTTAGGATTTTTTTGTGTGGATTTGCTTTTGTTTGAAGTGGAGGGATGGGTGTGTATAGATTGATATATGACGTTATATAGAAATAGATATATGTATATAGAGTTGTACATAGAGAGAGATATATGTATATATTGTATATATAGAGAGAGATATGTATATATTGTATATATATATATATATATATATATATATATATATATATAGAGAGAGAGAGAGAGAGAGAGAGAGAGAGAGAGAGAGAGAGAGAGAGAGAGAGAGAGAGAGAGAGAGAGAGATTATATAGAGACATATGTATTTTGAGATATGTAGAAATAGATATATGAATTTATGTGCTTCATATATATGAATATTACCGCACACACATGAAGTGCAGATAAACTCACAACAAACACTCTATAGGCCAAACACGTACAAACAAACACAAACACACAAAGACAAGAAAAAATCCAAACATCCACAAATGTATTCACAGACAATAACAAACAAACACACAAGACAAACGATCACCCCCAATAAAAAACACACACAAACAAACACAAAATGCAGTCGTAAACAAACCCCCACGACCCCCCACCACACACCATCACAAAAAAAACAAAAAAAAAAAAAAAATCCCCACACTTTCCCACATGGGACTATATACCTCCCCCCCCCTAACTTTCCTCTCTTCCATACTTAGCCGAATTTACCCCCCCACCCACCCTTTCCAGCCTCACCCTCTCTCCCTAACCCCCTCTTTCAACCCCTCTCCCTCCCCAGCCTTTCTCTCCCCAATTCTCTTCCTCTCCCTCACTTACCCACCCTCTCTCACCTCTCTCCCCTCTCCCTAAACCCAACCACACCCCCACCTCTCTCTCCCCAACACCAACCCCGCCTCTCTCTCTCACCTCTCTCTCTTCTCTCTCCCACCCCCCTCTCTTCTCCCAACAACCCCCCCTCTCTCTCCCCAACAAACCCCCCCACCTCTCTCTCTCTTCTCTAACCCCTCTCCCTCTCACTCCCCACCAACCCCCCCCACCTCTCTCTCTCTCTCTCTCTCTAACCCCCCTCCCCTCTCACTCCCAACACCCCCCCGTCTCCCTCTCCCCCGCCCTCTCTCTCCCATCCCCTCTCTCCCTCTCTCTCTAACCTCTCTCTCCTCTCCCACCCCCAGCTCTCTACGGCGTGATCTTCCCCGGCGAGTCCGAGGCAGCCTTCAGCAACTACCGCCTGTGGGAGAGCATGGGCTTCATCATCGCCTACGCCTGCAGCACCGTCATCTGCATCGAGGCCAAGATCACGATCCTCCTGGTCTTCATCTCCCTCGGCGCCGTCGGGTATTACGTCATCGAGGCGATCGAGTGGCGGGGGGGGCTCCGGAAGGACGCGGAGGGGAAGGTCGTCCCCGTTGACAAGTTGTTTGTGGAGTGAGGGGGTCGGGGTTTTTTTTTTGGGGGGAGGGTTTTGAAGAGGTTGTTTGTGAGTGAGGGGGTCGTTTTTTTTTTTTTTTTTTTTGGGGGGGGAGGGTTTGAAGAGGGTTGTTTTGGAGTGAGGGTCGGTTAGAGGTTTGGAGAGGTTGTTTGTGGAGTGAAGGTCGGTTAGAGGTTTGGAGAGGTTGTTTGTGGAGTGAGGGTCGTTTTGTTTGGAGAGGTCGTTGTTTGTGGAGCGAAGGTCGTGAAAGAGAGTGTTTATGAACCCGTTTTGTTTGGTTGGTTGTCGAGCGAAGTTCAGAAGGTTGTTTGTCTGCTTAGTTGGTTGTAAAGGGACAGGAGGGTCGTTCCTTGTGTCGAGATAGAGGACTTTTCTGATAAGTTGCGAGGCCGTTTGGTGGTTTAGTTGTTTGTGGAGTGAAAAGAACGCGTTTGTTTGTGGACCGACGATGAGAGGTCGTCCCTAGTATGAAGAGGAGATAGGTCATTCTTGGTGTGAAGATATGGCAATAGGAATGATAAGTTATCATCATTACTTTTTAGT